CAAGTCGAAATTATAAAATTACGAGCATAAAGTGTAAACAGGAAATGTATTCGACAGGTGGAAATTGAAACTGATTGAATTGTAAAATAAAGCATAAAATGCTGTGTTGCTCTTATTAATGTTTGTGGCGCACAGCTGCTGCTACCACGCCCACATTCCTAAAAAAAAAAAACAAAAACCAACACACAAAAACACAGGGAAACAAACAAATTGTGAAACCTTCGTTTTCTGATAATTTATGCTTTTCGATTTTAATTGGCGAAATTTTATTGCTTTTTTTATGCGCCTATTTTTTTTTATGCATATTTCTCTGTCAGTATTTTGTCACAAAAAGCTGAAAATTATTACTGCCAACGAGGGCTGATCATTAATAATTGAATTACAGGATATAGATCCTCGTTTGGTATATCCATATTTAATACAAATATACTCTTCATGAAATGAAGTCCCGCAGCGTTCTTTATTTCCGCTGGAAAGAATGGACAAATAAGTTTGTGAATGCATAAATATATTTCTCTTTTTACCTGCAATACATTTTTCGTTGTTTACTATTGTGGTGTTCAACAAGAACTCATACGAAATTTAACTTATTAACATATAAAACAAATAATTAAACATTTAATTTGTATCCGTAATGCATGACAGGTGCGAATCTATTGCATATATCCAACTTAGAATGCCAACTCTAGTTAAAAATTTGATTTAATGCAGCTAAAACCAAAAATAATATTCTGTTTTAGGAATTTTACAAATTTGATAACATGGAGAAAATTTCATTACAGTTTTCTGAATATCGAAATGGATTTTCTAAAATTCAGAAATAAATTTATGAAATATAGAAAAGGCCTTCTAATTTTTGAAACATATTTTTTTCGTATATTTAAATTTAAATACAAGAAAAACTTTCTCGTTTTCAAGGCGATTTTCTCAAATTCAGTTTGAACGGTTTTTTTCTGAGTGTGGGGTTAGACAAGTCTCCGTCTTCAACGTATTGATTTATGGTCATAAGCCTCGCATGCAACACATTACAAGAGGTCATACATATGAGTGCCAGTGTGTATAACATATGGTTTTGGCTTTGCGAGGCCTAACTCTTGTTTCACAGTTTTGGGCATGTATTTTTATTAGAGCTGTAATTGAAGTTTAACTGCGCATGTAATAAAGGCAATTTTAGCTATTTTCAACGCATTAGCGGCATAAATAATACAAGTCGAAATTGTCGACATAAAGACACGCGATATGCTGCTGGCCATATCTCAGTTCTCAGCTCTCAGCTCTCAAGTCTCAGCTCAGGCATTGCCAGCGAACGCATTTCTCATACGAGTCCGAGACGATGAAAATGCGTTACACAAATGAACAGGAAAACGGCGCAAGTAAAATGGACGAAATGCGATCTAGGCAAAAAGGCGCAAAGCATAACAAACGCTCAGCATTACCATTACCAATTGCGACGTTTATATGCACGCCTACACTCAGAAAGAAAGAGAGAAAGAAATGTTCTTGCCAAAAAGTAATTCTTATATTTAGAAAGGTTTTTTTATAATTTTCTAAAATGTCTTTCTTAATAATAGAATTTGATTTTAAAAAGTAGAAATGCAAACCGTTGATTTTGGTTTCTAGCCAGACACAATTTTCACTTTTTCATAAATAAACTGTCTGAATAATAAAGTGAGTCAAAAGTATGTAAAATTTCTAAAATTCATGGCTATTTTTTTTAGAGTGTATGTGTCTGTGCCTTTTTTTGTGCGTATGTGTGTGTGTGTGTGTGTGTGTGGCCCACGTACAGTACATCACATTACGAGTTGGTGGTCTGCCGTGTATTGCCCGCAGCTCGGCACCCACAAACAAACGATGGCGACTTATTCATTGCGTTTGCCATTAAGGTGGCTCGAAACGCTGCTGCTGTGATATATAACACGCTCATAATTGGTCATAAATCTGACAAATGTAATTTGTCATCACTCAGGCAGGCAGGCAGTCAGGCAAGCAGGCAGTCGGCAACCGGACCAGAATGCCAGAATGCCACTCGTCCTGGTCCCCTCACCCTTGGGTTGGACTTGGCCACGCTTTGCTGAGTGCCAAAATGAAAAAGGTGCTTGACACAAAATGTCAGCTGGATATTTTTTATTACACAATCACAACACACACAGTCAAACACACACGCAACGCAACGACTTTCTAGGAGCGCCTAAAAGTATGCTCAAGCTCTTGAGATTCTCACACACAGACACACACATACGCACACACACACACTACCCACACACACGTACACACACTTGGAAGCATTGAGAGAGACACACAGACAAACAGTTCAGGATAGCATCACACGTAAGCCGCAAAGTAGTTACTTTTTATGCTTTGCGCTTTTGGCCATTGTTTTTGGAATGGCTTTGGTCACTTGAGCTCGTAAATATTTTACAAGTTCTCCTTGACGCCTGGAGTCGCTACCCCGAGAGTTGTTGCCATACCCCCCCGCCACCGGTTATTGTCTCCAGCAACTAATTTGTGCTTTTATAGATGACGTACGACTTATTTGGGTGCAGGTTCAACATCTACATTTCATTATAAATGACTTTCAAAATGGCATAAGCATTCTAAATTAAGTAACTTAACGTTCGCACTACCTCTCTCCCTCTCTCTCCCTCTCTCTCTCTCACGCCCACTCTTTATCTCTTCCCACTGTCTCTCTCTCTCTCTCTCTCTCTCTCTCTCTCTCTCTATTTAACTTCAGTATTCGGTTTAAATGATGCCACTTGGGCGGCAATCAATAAACCGTTGAGAATTGATGAGAATTAAGTTGCCGCATAATGATTAAATAAGGCTGGTGAGCAAGAACCAATGTGGCTAAATATATAATAATAAATCAGCCTTAGCAGCAGGCACAATATATGACAAATCTATTTATATGCAAATCTTAGCAAAATGTAACAAATAAAACTCATCATCGTTATTGGTCAAGGTCAGCCATCAAGACGGTTTCACGGGTAAGTTAGTAATAGACTTTGTATTCCTTTTGTAATTGTTATTATGTACATATATGAAACTAGGTTGGGCGGTTTTTTTTGACGAAATAAGAAGAAAAACCAATTTGAATTTCTTTTATCTCATTCTTGATGATCATAGTTAGTTGCCTTGGTGGCTTATCGGATAACTCCTATATATATATATATGTGGGCAACCCCAAGAATTTTAGTCTTCTCCTGCTTAGGGCTAGGCCAGATCAAGTTCGACAGGCAGTGAGTAATTTTCACTTTCTGTTTGCCAGGTGCACAAAGTATGCTCTGCATTTTGTGATTAATAGATACGATTAGAAATCAATAATAATAATATTAACGTTCTATTTCCAAGATTGAATGGATCCTATGAAGGTCAATAGATTATATGTGTGCGCATTGAAGCATTTAGCATAGTCCAAAAAAAATTCCACATCAAAATATACATCTAAATTTATATGGTGTAATATTGTATTAAGCATAATTCTGCCAGCCTGCTCTTCGAACAATTCATATTGATTGGGTGTAATAAACCCAACGCTTTGCCTTAGTTCGCTTTTCAAGGCAGCAATGGCAATGCATTTTCATTGTAAATGCGCGACCTCAGTTTTACTTTGGGGCTGAGTGGCAATTGGGTCAGTATCTTTGCCTAGTCCCCGCGATCAAAAGATGAACAACGTGCCTCCAAAATGAAAATCTAGAAGCATTTTTCGAGTATATTAAGGCAATCCAGCAACTCAACTGTTGCAGATATGGACGTAATTATAGTATATATATATATATAGTATATAGTATATAGTACTCGTTGTTGCCTGGGTAAATTTGAAATTTGATGCGACACATTTGGCAAATTGGCGCTGAGCATTAGCTACAGATGTCAACATGATAAAGTTGTTGTTGCTGTTGTGGTTGGTTGTGTTTATGCTGCCTGGCTGGAGACATGGAGAAAATCCGAACATTTGAGTGCGACTCAATTAGTGGCAATTGAATTATTACACGACGACACTCATTCAATTTTCACTGATATGAGCACGTATTCATCTATACATATGTATAAATATACGTATATATGTAGTTATATGCACAAGAATTGCTGTCAAATACAAATTGTGTGATCCGTAAAATGGTTTGACATATCACATGGGCCAAGAAATACACAAAGTACCCTACTCCTTTATTATTTATTATATTACTAATATTAATAATGTAATTTGTAATATTAAAAAAATATAAATAATAATTATACAGATATTATTAGATATAATTAAATTAATTAATTCTTTTTAGACATGTTTAGCTAAAATAAATGTATAATTTTTCACCTTCAATTAAAAAGTTAGTAAAGAAATCAATATAGTTCACTTTTATTTGACTTGTATTTTGATGTTCCCTTAAAAAGTTTTTCCACTTTTTCATTGAAGGATTCCCTACCTATTTTCATGGAAATGTGCATTTGAAATTTGTTCAAATCGTACTTCTTGTATGAAAGAAAATGGTTTTCATTTCTTTCTTTACATTGAAGAAAATAAATATTCGCAAAAAATACATATCCAACTCAAATAATATTAAAACTTTAAACTCAGATTGAAGGTCAGATGCCTTTTTTGCTGAAAACTAACCATTAATTTCCATTTCCATTATACTTGCAAAATAGCCATTTTGGCATTGAAAAAACTTTTCCCGTAGTCTACTGTAAGGGGAAACTTTTCTACAGGCAAAATCTGAAGACAACTTCCCAGGAAAGAACTAAACTCGATATCAAAAAAAAGTTCATTAGTAATACAACAAAAAAATAGCGAGTTTAAACTAATACATTTTGAATTGCGCATTAATAAATGCGTTGAAAAAAATATGTTAAATGTGAGTTTGGAAATGGAAAAAAGAAATACACAAATTTATCTACAATATTTATATGCCCTACAGCTGGGCGAGTAGGGTATCTGCACACGCATTTGCGAGTTGCCTGGGGATATAGGCACCACCTCGTCGCCAATGTGCCTCCAGTTTGGTCGTGCTTACTGCCAGATGCAGTTGCGAATGATCCAGCATGAAACACTCTTATACACTGCTCTGCCTTTTGCTGATGGCCGCCTGTTTGGCGGTGCCCAGTGTGGCACGTGGCGGCCGTGGTCGTGGCGGTGGCTCATTTGGTGGCCTCTTTGGCGGCTGGCGCAGCAAATACGGCAGCAAATCATCCTCGTCAGGTGGCGGCAGGCGTGTGGTCAGCGGTTCGCCAGTGCACACAGCGATGACGGTGCCCAAATTGCCACCACCGCCACCACCACCACCGGGTAAGATGATGCCAAAGCCGCAAGTGGCCAGCTATCCGCGACAACAATTGCCACCAGGCTACAGTTACAATGCAGCTGCAGCAGCAGCTCCTCAGCCGCAGGGCACATATTACGCCAATGCACAGACCTTGCCACCCGGAGCCGTCTACTATGCACAGCCACCCACATCTATGTCGATGGGATCAGGTGAGTGATTGGGCAGTTGTATCGAAATTGAGAGTTGCATAAACATCTTATCTGTTCTAGGCACAAACGGTTTTCTAACTGGGATGCTGGCTGGTCGCCTAATGGACAGCATGCTCTTTGGCCATCATCGTCAGCATGTGTCGCATGTCTATCCACAGACGCAGCAGGTGGATGCTGCAACAGCAGCTGGCAACACTGGTCGCGATATTATAATTATCAACAATGGACAACCGCAAACGAATGGGGAGAAGGAAGTGGAGGGGGAGGGGCAACAGCAGCCACTGGATGAGGAGTTGGCCTCGTCAGAGGGCCCAATGGTCGAGGGCGAGGAGGAATCAGAAGAGTCCGTTTCTAGTGAGGAAACTTTGGATGCCACTGCAACCGCAGCTGAACCACCTGTTGGTGGCATTGTCTGTTTTCCCATTATGTTAAACGAAACGGATCCACAGAATGCCGAGCTGCAACGTGAAGTGGAACGTGTGATTTGTTTTCCAGTGCCCAAACACGATCCACAATTGGCGTCTGGCGACTGTCAAAATAATCCACAGTGCCTGCTTGAGCTGAGCACCACCAGCACAGTGCCACCGATTGTTGCTGGCGATATTGGTGGTGCTGCCGATGTGGATGCTTCAGTGGAAGCTAGCAGTCCCACTGCCGAAGTGGATACAACAACGCATGATTAGTTATTTAATTAGGATTTAAGCTAAAGCGCAAAATAAATATATCCACCTAGTTTCTGATTAACAGCTATTCAAGTAAATTGTACGTGTTTTCCAATTCAACGCAAAAATCTCTTTAAAGAAAAGCAAAGCTGTTTAAAGCTTTCTATTCTCCATAAGCACGCGACGGTTACCCGCTTCAAAGTTGCTGACGCTGTGTCAGAAATGCTGACAGCTTTTGCTGGACGATAGCAGCAACAAGGACAACAACAAGGCTGAGCGCAACAGCAACAGTGGCCAAATCATCAACAGCAAAGCGCCCAACGCACAAACAAAAAGGCACACAAACACCTCAATGGCGACTGCGACGGCGAAGCCGACGACAACATTGACGTTGACGACGACGTCGACCGCAGACATAAAGCGCTCATCACGAGCACCAATACAAAAACGTGTGTGTGTGTGTGTGTGTGTGGGATGATCCAAGAACACGAATGAAGCTCACTTACGTTCATTAATCCAGCAATAACAAGGGAGAACAATATGAAACAGACGCATGAATCAGCGGCTGTATGTAGCAGAGTAAATCATTCACCCATGTAAAATCTAAATGAAGAGCGTAAAATTAAAAGCGTTTTGTGCTCCAAAATTAGAATACTCCAGCTCTAAGAGATAAAAAAAATTTAAATATATACATTATACATATATGCACATATATTTGTATGGAATTTACTAAAATTTATTCAGATCTTTTTATCTGCACACATTTACTGCTTATTCGTATTCTTATTATAGAACATAAAAAACATTTGCATATTATCTTATAATAAGCTATACAACCAGCTTTACAACATATGTATATACATACGAATTGCTAATATGTATAACACAGCCATAACTAATGCAGGAGCACAGAGTACAGTTTTGATAAGCCCGCCAAAACTAAAATTTAATAAAACACCGTTGGACTAAAACAACTCCCATGAGACACAAAAAAACACCATACAAACACACAAATACACCCAGAGGCAAATATTTGAGAGAGCAGTGCAAACACCAACGAGGAGAGATGATAAATACAGTAAATGGAATAAAAATGACAACAATAACAAAAACAACAATAGCTAAAACTAAACGAAAGCACAGCAACAACAAGTTGCGGTCGCTACCGCAGTCGCTTCGCTTCGTTCGCGGTCCGCTCTGCGCTGCGCTACGTTGCGTTGCGTTGCGTCGCCTCTCAACAACAAAACATGACGAATATAAAATTTTCAACCGCATTTCAGTTGTTTGCGGATCATTGTACGGAACAAAACTCGAACGCGGCGCAAAATCCAAAACAGCATTAAACAATAATTTCAAGTAAATACAACAATAATGTTAAAATCTTTAAACAAAACAACACGAATAAATTAAACTAATACAATTGACAAATATATAGATATATTTATATACACGTAAATAAGTACGCAGCTTTAACATTGCTTGGAACCGGTTTGAAATTAATGTTTTTATTCAACCCGTTGCCAGCATTGTACAGTAAATAAGTGAATGCAATATATATGTAGCTCTTTGTGCTGGGAATTTGCTTTAAGCAAATGTGTATCGATTCAAGGTCAAATAAATTTCTTCGCAATATAATTCGCAATTTATCCAAACTGTATATACATATGAGGAGCAGCCAGTCTAGACAAAAAACACACGCCTGACCAAAAGCCAAAATAAAAATACCAATTTAAGCTCTGCAACATTTGTTCCACACTCAAATACCTATATACAAAATACAGTATGGGCAAGAGTGGGTAAATATAACAATACAATGGATATGTTTGTATGTATTTATATAAGCTTTTACTCCAAATGTCTTTTGTGCCGCTTAAAGTTTTATTTGGACGGCTGAGTTGCTGTAATTTAGTAAATCTTGAAAAATGTGATATGAAACTGGTTTCAAATTCTGCTTCAAGATTATCCCTAAGAAATGAGTGACTCACTTTTGTTTTTGAAATCTCAAATTTCAAGGCAGCTTTAAGGGAGTCTAAAATTAAATGAAAACTTCATAAAATGAACACACACAATCTGTGAATAATATAAAAATGTCAACAGCTGGAAAACATTTCCATCTATTTACAAACACATATTTCTGTGCACCCTGACAGGCCTCATAAAAAACAAAGAACATATTCCCCACTTTCGAACTGTTTTGCATTTCATGAACTCAACAGGTTCGTTTAAATTTAGATAGTCCATATTCATTTGTTATGCCGCCTCCCAATGATATCAACGAATTCAAACCATCTGGGGGGGAATTTCAGAACGTAAAAATTTATAAAAAGAACTACTCTATTAAATAGGTGTATAGAGTTTTTTTTTCTTCTTTTGTTAGTGGATTTGTCATTTAGAAAAAAGTCTAGTGCGTAGTTTATTTAACTATGTATTTGTTCCGGAAAGAATTGTCGTTAGCTCTACGCATGTGTGCAACAAATGTGCTTTATTTACCTTGCAACAGCTGTTCAACTTCGAGTTAAATTGAAATTGTCGTACAAATAGGTTGGCAAATACACCCGCAAACTGTTTTCGGAACTGCTCCCGCAATGGCAACCGGTTACGAACCCACTCAGGGTTATCCAAATGCGCAATGCTCAATTCTATGGAAAGCCCCAGTTTAGGTCGTTGATTTTGTGAAATTTTGATGTTTTGTATAACTTTTACCTTACAGATACAAAACAAAAACCAGTCTTGTGTATTAATTAACTTCCACTGGTCGCTCTTCATAAAGTCCAACATTTGCGTCAGATTAGTCGCAATACTGAATTCAATTATTTGGCACTCGAAATGTTTTGCACTTCTCTCGATGACAGCTTTATATAAACGACAGAGAATTCAAAACAAGTAAATATATATTTTTATAAACATGTGCTTGACATACTGAACCCAAAAAGCGATAAGGGAATATATACTGGAAATACCCTATATTATTTACTGTTGAATTTACTTAATTTAAATATTCAATTACAACAGAATGATTGAATGGGATTTGTCGAATATAAGATGACATCAAACACATTTTTTAGATGGCAACTTTGCATGCGGTGACTCATGTTCATTAAACAAACACTTTTGTTTACCTCGTCCAATGCTCAAAATGCGAACTACAATGCACGAATGCATTTATTATAAACAATTACTTGGTGTGCTTTTAGTACAGGCACCAACAAATAATTACTTTTGTATACATGTAAAAAGATATACATGCATTTTCGCTTGACTTAATTCTAGCACTGTTTGAATGTGCTACTGAGTAGCAGCAAGAACAGTAGAAATATTGCTACTGCTACGAAAGTTAACAGAGTATTATCAGAACAAATAGCACGAAACATTGAATTATAGTCTTACATTAGTTTAATTCACATTTCAGTTAGTCATAATATGATATTCACTTTGCCAACAACAAGTTATTTGCTAAATGTAAATAATGTATTACTAATAATAAAGGAAATCAGTAATTAAATATATCGCGCATAATCTGAATTATTATTGCAATTATTCTTATCATGCATATTCAGTGAGTCACTGATGACTCTCGATTCTCGGTAAAATTATATTCCAATTCAACACAAGATCACATGCATATGAATACTATTCAGAATATATATATGACATAAACTACTCTCCAATCGTAGATTAATTAGAAGCTGAGCGTCTAACAACATGATTTATTTGTTGGGGGAAATAGGTAAATCAATAACTATAATTTAGTTGCTATGCTTAAGCATTTCTGATGTTAACTCATGTCTTTGTATATGAGAATTTGAATTTATTGCACCTGGGTGAGCTCAGTTTACCTAGCGAGAGTACAAGTTGACCTTGATGGAACCGTTCCTCAATTAAAAGTGTACATTTGTGTAATATCGATGAGTACACAATATGTATGGATAAGTACAAGGGCACAAAACAAAGAGCAATGGAGTGTGGCCATGCGACAAGCCGAGCAAATCGCCAAGTTAATTATCATCATGGGTAACGCGCCCCAAATTGGGGCAAGCAGACACCAAAAGTGGCAGCCAGGGCGTGACATTGCGTCAGCGCCTCAAAATGGGCAGGGCTGCACGCCATGACGCAAATATAGAACTCCCTCCCCTCATCCCTCACAAGAACTCGCAACAACAATATTGCTACATTTTTTCGCTTACAATCGAATGCGAAAATACTGAGACACAAATATACAAATGTGGCAAATGCTACAATATGAGTTCTACTGGGTGTCATAAGCACAAATTGAATCAATTGTTTTTGCAAACAACAAATTAAACCGCTCAGCGGCAAATGAAGAATGACAGCAGGAGAAACTTAGATTGCGAGAGGCTACTTTGAAAAGCTAGAGATGCGCCGCGAGAATAACAAATAATCGAATCAACAAGTGCCTAAAATTAAATTTATGCAGTCACACTGCACAAATATCTATCTATCCATGCAGACTTGCGCAAAATATATTTATACTTTCTTTATATAAAAAAGATATATATGGTTTGAACAGCTTTTTCTCTACAAGTTCAGAAAAAAAAATGTGTTGAATTTCTTTGTTTAAAAATATCAGTTTTGAAATTGCGCATATATTTCTTGTATATACGAGGAGGCAATCAGTGTGTTGGTTTATTTGAAAATAAAGTATCTTTAATATGTAATGATTTTCGAATAATTTTAGTACAATTACGATTAAGAATTCATAATTGGTTGATACTAATCGCCAATAAATCTTGATTTACAAATTCAGAATGTTGTTCTTGTCCGGCTTTCAATATTTCATTCAGGTTTGTTCATCATAAAATTACTGATCGCGATCAGTGGAATCAAGGGCATGTGTTATGGCTTTATGTAAATCGTACATTTTCAGTCGAGAGTCCACAACAAATATATTGATAAGCATTTCGACTATATAAACGCTTTCGACTGAAGAGAGCAGTTCAGTCAAAGTTAGGCAGACACAGCAACAATAACCGAATACAATTTATTGGAGATTAAAGGAACGCAACTCAAGTGATTATCTGTTTGTATTTGCAGCATGTCGCGTATGTTGGCATTGGTGGTGGGACTCTTGTTCCTGCTGCTGGCCAGTCCGGATGTGGAGGCCAAGCGTTGGTTTGGCGGCAGCAGCAAGAGCCGTTCATCCAGCAGCTCCAGCTCCAGCAGCCATCGACGTCCCGCATCAACGTCACACAGTTCGTCCTCCCATGCCTCCAACGCGGAACACACGCGACTCAGCTATGGCGGCACTCACTCGCAGCCCAGCCACAGCGTCTCCCGACCTGCAGCAGCACCACCATCATCACCAATAGGTTGGAATGTGCCGCCCAAGTCTCAGGGACCACCGCCAGCCTACTCGGCATCTAATCCGATTGGTGGAGCGCACACAAACGTGCATGAGAAGCCACCAGCCTACAATCCATCGTACAAGGCCAATGCACCGCCTCCCAACTACTCGGCGGCCAACAGCAACGTACGACCAGCTGCGGGTGGTGCTTCCAGCAATTCTCACTATACGCCAGCCACCGTTTATAGGCCACGCATGAATGCTACTGGTGGTGGTGGTGGCTTCCATCACACTCCAATCTCGGCGACCAATACACATGGTGTACAGTCCAGTTATCCGGGTGCCACCTATCACAATCCCGGCCAGCTGCCCGCTGGTGCCACCTATCATCCGGCTGGTCAAGTGCCCGCTGGCGCAACCTATCATAGTGCTGGTCATTTGCCTGCTGGCGCTACCTATCACAGTGCTCCACCAGCTGGCGCCACTTATCACAGTCCGGGTGCTCTGCCAGCAGGTGCCACTTATCACAGTCCAGGTGCTCTACCAGCAGGTGCCACCTATCACAGTGCTCCACCAGCTGGCGCCACTTATCACAGTCCGGGTGCTCTGCCAGCTGGCGCCACATATCATCCTGGAGGCTATTCACCGGGCGGCGCTGGCTATCATCCAGTCGCTCACTATCCAACTCAGGGAGTACCCCACGGTGCCACCTACTATCCTCAGGCTCCGGTTGCCGCAATGCCAGCAGGTGCAACCTATCTGCCAGCTGGTGCTGCAATTCCAGCTGGTGCCACCTATTATCCACAAGCACCCAAGTCATCATCAGGTTTAGGATTAGGTGAGTGTTTTCTTTGAAGTTAATCACACATTTTATTCAATCTCTCTCTTTAATTTTCAGGAACTGGTCTGATTGCTGGCGCTTTGGGTGGTGCCATTTTGGGTCACGCACTGACACCCACTCAGACGCGTGTCGTAGAGCACGCACCGGTCTCCAGTGGAGGCGGTGGTGGTGGAGGTGAAGATAAGATTATCATCATTAACAATGGACCACCCGGATCTGTGACAACGTCTGAAGTGGGATCAGGCACAACGGTGATCAACACTCAACAGCCAGGAGCTCCCGCTGCACCAGCAGCAGCTTATCCAGCAGCAGCTTATCCAGCTCAAGCACCTGCTCCTGCTCCTGCTCCACTGCCTGCAGCGCCCGGTGCACCTGATCCACTTGTAGGGCAAACACCACTAGCTCCACTTGCATCTGGTGCTGCACTTGCATCTGCAGCAGCAGGTGCTGCAAGTGCCGCATCACCAGCTGCAGCTGCACCGCCTGCAGCACCTGGAGCACCTGGAGCACCTGATCCGAATGCACCACCTGCTGGCGGCATAATTTGTGTGCCTGTGCGAGTGAACGAACCAGATCCGAACGATGCTACCAAGACAATCGAAGTGGAGAAGATTGCTTGCTATCCGGCACCACCACCAGAAACTGCAGCACCACCAGCAAATGGAACAGTTGCTGCTGGTGTGGCACCCACACCTGTTGCACCTGCTGCATCTGCTGCAACTCCGTTGAATGTGACGCCAACGCCGGATGGAGCTGCGCCCCTCGCACCCTTCCAGCCGACGCCGCTAAGTGTTCCCGAAGGATCTGTGCCTTTGGCTCCCCTGTTGCCAGGCGGACAACCTGACGTGATGCGGATGCCAGGTTTGACGTCGGCGCGTCTATCGGCAGAGTCCGGATTGCATGATGCCCACAATGGCATCAAGTCCACATCTCAATTGAGCACATTCTCTGTCCTACTCGCTCTCCTGGCAGCCTACTGTATGCACTAAAAGAAGAAAAGAACAGAAGCAAACAAAATTAACTTGGGGGAATTCCCCTCAGTGACACGAAATGACGTTGCCGAGTCTCGTTTGACAAGCTATGAATTTCTTTCTTTATTTTGTAAACTAAACGAATTTTTATAAACGTGTGTACTCATAGTTTTGTTAGTTTTATAATTAAAATAAATCCATATTAATATTTAACAGATTGTATAATTTCGTTGAATTATTTGTGCGGACTCTTGCATACGCGCACTCTATCGGCTACAATTCTAAGCTGGCTTAGACAAGATTCTTACCAAGTTATCTGGTTGATTCTTGCGTTTGAGTACTCGCTAAGCCGATTCGTTAAGTTTGCAAATGCAGCAAAAGGTTATACAACAACCTTAGCGAAGTCACAAACAGCGACAGCTTTGTGAATTAATTTTTACCTTTTCATTGAATTAAATTGAAAAAGTTTCGCTATTTTAATACGAGGTACAAGCGAGAAAATATAAATATAAAATGGAATGCATCAATTTTTAAAAATTGCATTATTTGCAATTATTTGCAGCCTCAAATAAGAGTTTTTAATATTGATTATTATAAATATATTTGCAAGTGTTTGCCACGTTGCATTAAATAAACCGACTGTGCTTGGACTTCAAACTTTTGAGCCATGCAAAGTCAAATAAAGTGAGGTATAAATGTACTTAAATAACGTCAATAAGAGCAGCTGCTAGTAATGGAAAATCTAAGCAGAAGTTTTAGCTCAGGTTTTTTGCAACTACTTTATATGAATTTGCGATGTTGACGTTTAATTCCTTCTTAGGCAAACTTTTGAGATGTGGACGGATTTGTTTTTGTGCAATAATAAAACTTATGTGGAAAACAAATTGGACTGGCAAAAACCTACAAACTTTATTTATCTTTGCGAATGACACTTTGGCTTTCTTATATGCAACAAAATACCTCAAAATAAAACTTTGAAGTCGGCAAAAGGATAAAAGCATGCAAACATGTCCACTTTGGTGTACTTAGAAAAGAGTTGTGCATCAGGCTACAATCTTAAGAAAAAAAAATTATTTTATTCAATTCAAATAGCTATTTATGAGACTCAAAAAATACTCAAGCAACTCCTCCCAGTTAGCATTAAAGCATTAAATTTTAATAGCAAGCGGAAGTCAGTTAAGCAAAAATACTGCCAGCAATTTGCCATTAATTGGTAGGCATACCAATTGACGAATTGTAAATGCCGCTTTTATAGACGATAAACCGAATATGCTAGTTTGACAACTAGTCCCCAAAAGCATGAATAAAACATATCAAGCAATCATGCAGAGCAAGTTACTTGGTAACACACGGCAAATATGTAATTGGCAACGATTCACCGTTGACGTCGTCAAATGGCAGCAACAATATAATTATATAAATACACGTAATCAGAAATATTATTCGAAGACCGAAACAAGCTCAGTTCAAAGATAGAATAATAGATTAAGCTTAACTTGGGCCATTTGCTGGAACTTTTGCTGAGTTTTGGCTAACGAATTGATCAATTTCCTGGATCGTGTTTAACATATAAATCAGATTATGAAAATCATAGTTTTTTAGATTCCCATTTAGATTCTTGTAAATATATTTTCCTAGATTAATATATATAAGTGCACAATGTATTTTCTATAACTTTTAATAACAACAGATCCCAATCCATAAAATTAAGTAATAACACCATGACAATGCACTTAAGAATATTTTAGGCCAAATGTAGATAACAATAAATAGAAACAACAACAAGTACGGCTCGTAGCAAGCCAAATTGAGTGGAGCTGTGATAGCTTGTGGCACAAAGTTTGTCCAGTGTGGACTTGTGGAGCAAAGAGCAGGCAAATGGAAAGGATGCCGTAACTGGCACAAGCAGGTCCTCGAGTTGCAGCTAAAAAGTGAACAAATTTGCATGCTAATTAATTGTGTAAAGCTCTTTGAACTAATGCTGGATTGTGGCATGTATGCCTGGGACATATGCCTGGACAACGACGATGTTTCAACAAAATACAAACGATACATGGTATCACAAATTAGTTGCAATAATTGCATCTCCAACTTTCTGTGGCAGCTGTAGAAAAAGTTGTATATTTCAGTTAAGTGTGATGAACTTAGATATGTATACCCTGTACAGAGATGGGTCTTATTTTGTTGTGAACATTTATTATAATTAAGTAGACTCCAAGGCTCTCTTCTTCCTTATATATCATCGACTGTTGATGACTGTTTGCTTTATTCTATGCTCCTTTATATAGTAAGGAGTATAAAAAGCGTAGCTAATTAGGGAATTAAAATTGTTTACTGTCAGTTGACCGCATCCCAATGAAGTAACCGACTCGTTAGCCCGCTTGCGACACTCATCAGTCTCAGTAATTGGGTAAAAAGGTGGTTTACGGTTTTATATTTGATGCTCTCTGTGTAGAGACAAAGACAACTGATTATTAGGGCACCTCGTATTGATTTTATTAGGAAATGTACCAGATGAATTCAATCAATGAATCGCAAAACTTGAACAGAAATTTCTAAGGTAATTCGTTTGGCAAGGACAACATTGAGATTGCATAGGCCAAGGACACGTTGAATGCGTAACAGCATACTGCAAAGACGACAAGGCTTAGTGTTTTATGCACTTGTTCATCAACTCAACTGTACAGCTCATTCATTCACTTTGGGGGCAAACTTCTCAACGCATTCATTTGAAACTGCACTCGTATTTGAATTTCACTCGGAATGCATTCAGGCATTCTGTAAGGCAACTTTTAACCAAAGTCAATGCACACGACTGCCTAACCAAAGTGGTCTGGCAGGCGCCACTTAATTGGGCAGTGGGTGTAGCTTGTAAACGGCTTATTGTATAAGTGGCTGTTAGTGTTCAAAGGCCAATTACTTCAATTCTTGCGATAGTGCTTCACATAAGCATTAACAATTAGTTAATAAATAATTAAGCAAAATTCTTGAGTTAATTACTATTATAGACACAAATTTATATTCATCAATTTATACATTCATATGTATTTATATATACCAAATTTGAATGTCATCTATTTGCAGCCTTAAACCAGATTCATAATATTAACAGGACCTTTGTTATGAAACCTACATATATCACCGCGAATTTGAACGATACAATTTTATATGTGATTCACAAAATATTTCATATGCTTAATAATTAAAAATAGAATGAAAGAAAGTACATTTTGGTAGGCCTGAGCGTAGAGTATTTAACCAAGCCAAGAAATAAAACAAAAAAAAAATAAAATAAAAACTTGTCACCTTGTCATAAGTGGGTATTGAACCGAGTGCCACCAGAGCACGAGTCATCATCTTTACCAGAGCGCCATTGTCCAAAGCCTTTCACGTTGAAATAAGTTAATTTTTTACAACTGCGCATGTCAAATAATACCAAATCCAAACAAAGCCAATCTCTTTGCTTAATTCATACAATAAATGACTTGGAAGCTCACTGGCACGTTTAATGCAAGTTTTCTTGCATTTCTGGTTCATTGAGTAGCAAAGTAGCGGAAATATGTTAATATTAGACAAAGAGCAGGTACGAGAATAATTAGACAAACAAAAAAGATCTGTAGGTAATAGTATTAATATTATGTTTACAAGCAAAGACTTCGGTACTTGAAAGAGGTGCTGCATATAGCTTTGGCTATGTGGGAAATGCATAAATATCTTATAAAATTAATATTAGTATTAAAAGCACATACAGCATATAATGGAACTCTCGCTAATATTTAGCATTTGGCCAGCAGAATTCAACATCCTCGATAGTATAGTGGTTAGTATCCCCGCCTGTCACGCGGGAGACCGGGGTTCAATTCCCCGTCGGGGAGAGATGATAATTTTTTTTAAATTCAATTTATTTTTTTTATGTTTGTTTTATATTTATTTTAGCTGTGAAATATATCTTTTTTTGGAAGTTTAAGTATGTTAATAATATATTCATGATACGCTAAAGGTTTTTAGTAACTACTTATAGGCAAACTTTATTTAGTTTTTATTATGCACTTGCTAAATGTGATCAAAAGTTAGCTGCTAAATAGTCAACGAGGCATAATTAAGTTATTCTATGCTAATTAGTTCACACGACACGATTTGAACTTGTTATGCAAAAAGTCACGTTTTGAACTGAAAATTTGAAAAGTTTTATGCCAAACGTGTTGCAAATTTAGACTTGCTTACAACTCGCTCTATCAAATTTATTTGCCAGACTAAATACTAAGCCGAATAAATGAAGATGACGCTGACAATAAAAGTATGTGGATAATAAAATGCCAAGATAACAAAATGAGAAATGCACCAAAAGTTTGCAGTTGGTATTTGACTTAACATAATCTTTGAGTATGTTTCGAATTTTGTATTTGTTGAAAGCCTCTGAGCTTCCAATTCGTGATCAAAATTGTGTTAAGAATGCGTGCAGTATAATTCAATGTGAATAATTGTCAGAATTAATTATGAGTTTTAAAGATAAAGTAACGCTTTAACGCAATGACTTCATCTATGACAATTTAGACAGTGGCCTAGTTCGCATTTTAGACACCAAGTCCAATTAGTTGGTTCAAAGTTTGCCGCTGTTGGCAACCCTTCCAATGCGGTTTCATTAGTGGCTTTAGTAAATGGATCGACGACTACGTTTCGTTATTATATTTTTTCTATTTTATTCTACTCTCTTGGCGGTTTTCTTTCGCTGCACTGAAAAACTTTCATATTGCCAATTTTCTCTTGCAAAACTTTTTTGTCGACTTTTCTTCTTTGTTACGTATAAATTGCTATCAATTAGTTTAATTGTTTTCAACGATTTTTCTTGTTTTGCAATTTTTCTGCTTCATTTCTTTTGATGACCATTATTGATAAGTTGTGCAATTGTTTTGAAACTGTTGTTAATTGCAATCAAAATCAAAAGCTCTTATGAAATAACTGCGACTACTAAAAACAAAAATTGAAAAGGTATCAATCATTTCTTCTACAGCTCAGACTTAATATTTTTCAGCTGGACTTGTGGCTACATTGAATTCAAGTCAAAAATAGTGTATCCAATCTTAAACGTATTATTATTTTACTGCTATTGAAAATTTGCTCAACGTCTGTATTATTTATTTGAATGTTTCAAGTTGATCAATGTATATTATATTGAAGTGTTCTTCTGTTTCTAAATTGATGTCAAAATTTGTGTGCGTTTCTAAAACTTTGAACAGAATAACCAACCGGATTTATATCATTAATTTATTCTTCGAAAACCGAAAAATGTTCATGATTGTATTCAGAAAAAAGCAAATTTTCTTTACATAGTAGCTGGAGTTTCATCATAAACAATTGTTTCATTCAGCTGTCTCTTAACACTAATTATAAAAGTTTTGTAAGTAACTCTTACACCGCCGCTGAGTAAATTGATTGATGGAAAATACTAAGAACTTTGTGGCAAAACAAACAAAAAAATGTTGCGTGGACAGCTGCAACATTTGAAATTATTACAAAATTAACTGAAAGCTTTTTGTTGCAATGAAGACGTTGGCTACCCCCAAATGTCTCTGTTAACTGGCTAGGTACACCCTGAAAACTAAGCTAGTTCCACATTTGTGCTTGTAGAGTTTGCCGCATTAGCGACGGGGCACATTCCTGTTTCTTTAGTTTTATTTTTTTGAAAATATCCACTTAACATTTCCACCGACTGCAATTGCCACTCTGCAATTTGGTTGTACGTGTGTGTGTATTTGTTTGGGGAAAACACACACACAGTTTAGTCCTGCCCTGCAGACATTTTCTTATATTAACATAATTCGCCCAACAAGAGCCTTGAGCGAGGGCACAATAAAAGTGTTGTGCAATGAAACTAAACACTGTCCACGACGGGTTCTCGATAACTGTGTGATATTCCACAGCTTGTGTGTTCATAAAAGTGGCATAAACGTTTTTATAGCTTTTGCTTTTGCCCCTTTTATTTGAGTATATAATAAAAAAAATGTTTATCTGAATTAGAGCGTTGGGAAATGTGCTGAAATTATAGTCTATTAGACAAGCTTAAAGCGGCGTTGTGGCAAAATATAATACATATTTTGACAGCAAAGTTCACAGTTTATTCGTGGACAAAGTTTAAAGACTCATTTACTAGTCGAGTACTAAATTTCTCACTCGCCTACATATTTTTTAATTGCAACAGAATATCCCATGATTTTGCAGGTATAGTTTTGTTCTTATTGTCACGTTCATTAAGATATCCTCCTTTGGCACTCAGTTTGTTTACTTCACTGCATGTCCTTCGCATTGATGAAAAACTCTGGCTGAGAACATCTTTGTTTACTTTACGGCACAAAACACAATCTGGCAAAAATTCATCATGGTGTCCTGATAATTACGGAACAAAATCTGACATCAGCATAAATGTGCATTGCACAGGTTTATTGATGCTGAAACTTAAGTCTTGCTTGAGTGTTGAATATCCTTGGAGCATTGTAATTTTCATAGCAAGCTCCCAAGCGTTAAAGTTTTCCACATTTTTTGTTATTGTTTTTGTTCTCTCCTTTATGTACATTCAAGTACACTACCTATATCTTAGAATACGCAGAGGTCAGTACAAGGCGTTCAATAAATTATGTCAAAGGTCTTGATTGCAGTGCAGCAGCAGAGGTGAAGCTGGAAATGAATTCGATTTATCTTAAACTCTGCTCGCGTCCAACATGTCGTATGTGTAACAAGTGTTGCACATAAATTTTCCAGTTGGCTGCAAAACTTGCAAGACCACAAAATAAATAAACAATGGAAGTTTCAGTGTAAAGTATTGTTTGCTCCTAGCAGCAAATGGATTGATTTAGTTGTTCGGCTGTGAAAACAGTTGCACAACGAATTTAGAGCAATTTGTTAGCGGAAACCAAAACATTCAACTTCAACTTCAACATTCATCTGTATCACCACATAAATAGTGTATCAATTAACAAGCATTCGCCACAAGTAATTTTTACGCACAGAAATATACAAATACATTATGCCCAAGGATATTTGCATATTTGTTATGCAAGAAATAAAGACAAGAGCAATACCAACTGCATTTGATTTAAATACATCCCTATGTACATATTAGGGTGCTCAAGTATCTGGGAAAAACAATAAACATATCTGTACTATTTCCGCAAAAATTCCAAGCAAAAGTTTTTGCAACTTCTTCCTTATCGTTTGGACAAAGTTTTCAGTAAGTGAACTTCTTAAGTTTATCATCCGAAAGGAGACTAAATAAACATTGCAAATATATTTATATTTGTAAAAATAGCATTTCAGTTAGACATACATTTTTGCTATTTAAATATTACCAAATATAATTAATTTCACAAATGATTAATGCAGAGTCATAATTTAGATTTTAGCATTAATTTTGTAAACGGTTTCAACTGCGACTGCAATTCATCTTTACAAATTCAGTGACGTGGCATGCAGCTCCCAGTCTTTAAAACCTTGTACATGGTATGCATTAGGCTGCACAAATATCTGCTGACTGTAGCATAATTCAAAGCCTGGCACAAGACATTAGGGGCACCCACACTATCAAAGAAGTCAGACACACAGGCAGGCAAGCCCATCCTTTGAATAATGGTTGAATTTTGTGCTGCTGTCTCTTTTTGGCCCCTTTGAGCCTGGAAGCAACTTCGACACTTGGTACTCCATTGCGATATACGCTTGGCTTTCAGCTTAAGCCAAAAATTCTCACAGACAAGAAATTTACTGGCTTCCTGACGCAGCTCAAACTTTCTATAGAAGATGTAAGGGATGTAGGCAAATGGAAATTCCATTATTTCAGCTGCCTTCCTCTTTGCTGCTAGATTGCACAATTCCTTTAGGACTAGTTTTCTTTTTCGGCTTGATGGTATGTTAAATATGAATATTTACATATATAAAATATATATATATATATATACTTGTTTATACAAGTTTTAAATTGAAAATTTGGTGTTGAGATAGAGAGTAAAATTAAATAATTCTTACCAATGATATAATAACAAGAATCAAACACATATCACACATTCTTTATGTCAATTATGTATTCCAAATTTTATTCCAGTTTTAAAAATCTCAAATGTGCTAAACATTAAAGTGGATGAATGATATTTATCCCAGGACTGCAACATCAACATCTGAGGAGATGATCGCCGCTCACTTTGGCCGTTTTAGAGACGGATGCTTGCTAAACGTTACCGGAGGCCTCCACGGGGAGGAAGTGAGTCGACTTGAGACGTCTAATCAATAAGGATCGCGCTGGGATTACCTTGTCGAAGCAGTCAGCAGCTGTGCCCTATGAGGTACGCCTCCATGGCCTCCATGCGATGTTATTGCGCTTACACTTATTTCGAAAATTAATTTAAGTCATACATCAGTTTTTCGGCATTGTTGGGACCTTCGCAGTCAAATGAAGCCATCATGAGTTCTAAAAAAAACAAAATAGAAAACTAACCATTTAATTTGATATAGATATAAATATAGAAATACATATTTATAAAAGGGTTTACTATATATATGTATATAAATATCGAGCAAAGCACAAAAAAAGTGTCCCATTTAGCTGCACCCTGTCCAGCTGCTCAAATAATCTTGTGCTTATATAAATAGTTTAGGAAACGGTTAACACGAGATGACCCGAGCTTATTGTGAACGCCTTGTTGACCTGCGGTCAAGTGTAGAGCAGACGACAGGCGAGAAGCGTTGAAGTGTTTCGTGGTGCCAGGATTGGAACATTTTAATAGAAAAACTAAGGAAGCCAAAAAAACATGGTTTAATATAGTTACAACAAACTGGCTACTGGCCAAAAAAACCAACAAAAAAAAAACACAATAAAATAAAATATGTGTGCCTTGTGTGTGTGTTGAGTGTGTTGAGTGTTGTGTGGCAAAATGTGGCAGACATGTCCGATTCACACCATGAGACCATTAAAATTCCAGAATGATGCAAAGCGCCGCCTTGTTGGTGAGCTTTGGTCAACAGCTGTGTTCTTGACTTGCCACAGAATGCCACGGGTTGTCCCTTCTTGTCCCCGGCCCCCGCCCAGTGTGTTTATAGGATTTGTGCCCGCATGCTCGACCAGAAAAACTAGAGAGATTCACACACATGCAACGAACATTTTCAAATCGCATACAAAAAAAAAAAAGAAGAAAAAAACGAAAAAAAAAAAGAAAAGGTTGCCATTGTTTGTGAAAGGATTAAAGTCTTGGTTATGGTATCTACTTTTTCCTTGTTCAGTTTTAATAGAGTCGTGAACGTAAATATTTGTACTGCACCTTCAGGAGATGAAAATTTGTGGAGCGTTGGCATCGTTGCTGCCTTGATTTTCACCATTGTATACACCAACCACATCCTGATAGCTCTTGACGAATATTTCAAGTGTTGAGCCTAACAAGCGGTTATATAGATCGTAAACACAATAAAGCGTATATGGCTTAAAACTCTCATGCTATTTTTTTGGCATGCACTCTGCACATTCTAACCGCAACTTGATTGCTATGTAGATTCAAGTAAATTGTTGATTATTATTCATGGAAAATAGTTGCAAAAATACTCCGTTTTTAGTGACATTTTTAAGGCTTTGATTGCAAACTACTCTTCTCTGCTCTGTTCAATTTTAAATAGATATAGAAAGAGAGAGAGAGAGAGAGAGAGAGAGAGAGAGAGAGAGGGAGAGAAGGACTTACAAGTTTTCTTAGCGCTAATTTTTGAAAATCGGTTAAGCTTTGACGAACTTATGGCATTTCCACTACTATATTTGTGAATAGAATTTGTACATGAATTTCGACACAGAATCTCGTTTTCAAATTTAATTGCAATATTAATATGGATTTTAAATCATGAATAAATTGCCTTAGTTTTTGAAAACCGGTTGAGTTTTGACGAAGTTATGACATTCGAATAGTTGGAACCATTCACACTGCTATTTCTTGGCTTACACTTTAGCATGAATTTCGTCCTTGAATCGCAATTTCTAATTTGAATGCAGTATCATATTAATTTAATTATATCCTATATAATCAGTTATTAACGCTGTGCAAATGATTTCACAAGCACCTTGCTTAACACCACATTGCATAATTTTCCGGACCCAGACGCAATTCGAAATGAATTTAAAATTAATTAAGATTAAAATTATAAATGTGTAAATGTAGTTGCTTGACTTCTATTCCCAGCTATTTGGGCATGTTGCTAATGAGCACAATGGAAATTTCAGAACATTCATACATATGTATGAATCCAATGTACAAATTCAACTTGGATGTCGCTTTTATCAGCATGGAATTCAGTGGCTTGTTTGTTGTTTGTTTGTGGCATTCGAGTTCTGCAGGAGCTGGACATGAATAATGGCTTCCTTATTTGGACAACAAAAGTACAATTGATTGGATGATTTTAATGAAAATTTGACTTAGGCTTTGCCAACGTAAGTGTTAAATGGGCTCTGCCTTTGCCGTGACATTTGTCTCTGTGGTATGCATAAAATTGCCATACAAATTGGCATTAAGTTTTGAAATTTTGTAATAACCTTCTGCCACACACACTCACAGGAGGAATTGTATGTAAATTCTAGTTGTGCATTTCATAAATGTAGATTGTTCAATTTGAAATTCTTCAGAACGGTTAAGCAAACACATATGTATTATTCATTTTTCACACCATTGCTTTGCTTATTCAGTTTTTGCTAAACTCATTTTGTTTTCGCAGACTGCGTGCTCAAATTTTAGCTTGTCTCTGGCCAGATATGCAGCCTTTTCTATATATAGCCAAATAGCGTTGACATTAAACATTGTGGATGAGTGTGTGCTTTTGTTGGATGTCTCCCGACACGTCCGACGTTAGCACGCCTCAGTCTGACAGTTGCTACAACACAGACAGGCAGCTCCAGAGTTACAAGGATTGCAAGGAGTTGGAGGACTCAACATTGCTTTCAAGTAGCAGCCGCTGGTTGCCTACATCTCAAGATGACTCAGCGTTGAAGTTGGTTATTACAATGCTTGTTAATATGATTAAATCTATACAAGAATAGCATGAGTAATGCATGTTGCACCAGTTGAGTTGTATTTCAAACTGATTTTTATCCTTCAGTGATCTGCTATAATTATTATATAAATCCCAAATGATGTACTGCTCTTTCTATTTATATATTTCATATTTTGTTGTTCACTTGTCATATTTTTACTTGCTGAGAGTTTCGTCAAAGAAAAAAACACTCATTAGCCTTAATTCATGGTAAATCCTGTTCACTTTTCGAGAGTACAGAGAAGATATTTTTAGCTTAATAAGGCTAATTAGTTGATATCCCACTGTTATTCTCCCATTTGTACCTTGAACTGTACCTGTCATTGCTGCAGAGCTTAAGTTAAATATGTTGGAATTACATTTATTTCAGTTGTGGCCGTATAATTTCTGGCTTTGCAGTCAGTTGCCGCTTCAATGAGTACTTGTTGTGAAAATGTTTGGCTTAGCAAACACAGAGTGAGGATTTAAAAAACCCATAAAAAATAATACTGGAAAAGCTATTTATAAATGTCTGCTCAACTACTGCTTGTATCATGATTTTGTGCTTATAATGCCAGATGTATTCCGCAAGAATGGAAATACGCGGCTATTCCAAAAAAAAGAAGGTGGAAAGCCAAAAGAAACCACATAAATGTTAAGAGCGTACAACAGGTGAAAATCTCTTTGGGACTCGGAATCATCATGTGAAGATATTTCATTAATATTTATACCATGAACTTTTCTTCTTTATTAATAGCCAAGATAAAGTTTTCATCCATTAAAAATCTCTCTCATGTTGAAGATTATTAAATTCAAATTTACTTCAAGCTTTAAGTTTATATTGACAGTTAATTTACCGCATGTTTCTCTGGAGTTCTCAGTTGCACTTAATTTTGTTAATCAAAAAATGGTTCAAGCACTATTCTCACAGAATTATGCTCAGCTGGCTTAGAAGTATGCTGTTGAGTACTTTAAGCCACTTTTCGTTTCTCAATTGGGCTAAGGTAAATCCAGCCAGATAAAATACATTTTTGAAATTCCAGAGCTGTGCAAATTTCTTAGGTAACAACGAAAATGACTTGACTAGAAAAATATTTATTTATTTATTTATTTATAGTGGGCAAGCAGCGATGGCAAAAGCTGCATTCAAAGTGACAGGAAACTTTCGGTGACTTCTTTTGCATTTCTCGTCGCTGACGTCAGCGTCAAGTTTGGTAAAACTTCTTAGCTGAGGGATACTTTTTAGTTTTGCGGCACGATGTAAGCTGGTTTAGAAGAAGGCCAAAAACAAAGAAAAAATGCATACTACCGGAAAATAAGTGGTTTTGCGCCCGACAACTTGAGAATAGTTTCCTCGCATCAAAAATTTGTCGAAAAATATGCAATTCGTTAGCTAAGCTGGTACCACTTTTTAAGCGATTATAAAATGCAATAAATTCCACATTTTATCGTTTTCAAAACAACATTTATGTGCTTCAGCATCTCACTTGTAGAAAGTTCTTAAAAACTCATGGCTTATTTACGCTTTCATTCAAGTCTCATTGTTCGGCAGGATAAACTTTTGTCATCATATTTCATCTTCTTACAGTTCTCATACATTTACCAAGCAGAGTGAAACATTAAAAATTCTTCTCTATAAGTTTATAAATTGCATTTACCTCGCAATGAGGCACACATCCAGCATTTAATAAACTTTTCGTAAGTCTCGAATGCAACTGAGGCTTGATATTGGAATGAAAACGACAAAAATCTGAACCGAACCATAAGTTTTCATTCTTTTGCCCATGTCGTTGCCAGGATGCGCTTATGCACCAACAATTTTTTTTCTTTATTTTATTTTTTTTTCTTTTTGTGTACGACTTTGTTGTTTGTCGCCTGTGGCAAGGCCTTCAAAGTATCTTACGCTTCCTGGGTTTATAATGAGTTCGGTCTATGTGGACCTTTCATTTCAGCACTATGGCTGTTTTTTTTTCCATCACTTTTGATGCTGCTGTCACTGGTGCTTTATAGCTTTGCCTCATCCTCTGCCATTGCCTTTGCTTTTGCTATTGCAGGCAGCACTGCTGTTTCTGTGTGCACATTCCGTGAAAAATATCTCAACGTGCAGGTCGTTCTGACAGCTCAAAGAAGGACTTAAAAACTTTGTTGTGCTCTGCCATCACAACACGTGGTGTTATTGCATGTAGGTGTTGTTGTCACCGTCGTTGTTATGACGAAATCGCATTATAGCCGTGTCCTTCAGTGCCTGTTGAAAGACTTGTTATTCTTCACTGTATTTACTTTTGAATTCACAAGTATTTCCTAGACGTCACTGCGCATTTGTTTGTGCATGCGTTTCAAAACCAAAAAAAAAAAAACAAAAAATGAGACACTTCTCTTAAGATTATTACATTACGCACCAAAAACTAACTTTGTTAGTATTGCAGCTTTATTCATATGCTTCATAAAAATCCCCTTTAACGACGAATATCAAAACATTAAACCGAACTTTGAACCGAAGCTTGAGGCACTGGGGCACTGGGGCGGAAATGAATTGTTGTTCAAAAAGAACAAGCAGCTAAGAGCAGAAAATGCCCATTCAAATTGTGTATAAAATTAATGAAACCCTTTTGTGGTCATAAAGTGTTTCTTCTGGCGTTTTATTGCGGTTATTCATTTAAATTAATTAGCAACAAATTGCTTTGCAGTGGTGCAAAGTGCAAAAGGGATTGCAAATTATTGCCAGCGCCACAACTCAAAGCGTACTTAAAGAGGTTGAAAGTGTGTGTTTCACAATAGTCTTGCATTAATCAAATAGTTTAATTCTGTGCACAGAATGCTAATTGTCAAAAATGAACTATAATCGCAATTAATAATGGGCGAGAATATAATTTGTTAAACAAAAGATAAGCTGAATGAGAAGAATATTACAATCCAATGAGATATTTATATTTATATAAGTATTTATATATATTTGTCATATTGTTAAATGTGTTGCGTTGTGCGTATTCGATTCACGACACGCAGCCAACTCTGCTCGGGAAGTGTCATCGTGACAAGTTTTTTCTAGCTAAGGTTTCTTGCTTTCATTTTAATTGCCTCACTTGTAGAATTGCGCTCAATGTGTGCTGCGACAACTGCACTGCATTTAATTTTTCATTTTAAAAATGTAAGTAGCACGAATAAACACGCTCACACACGCACACACGCACATGCTCATTTATACTGGCACTTGTCCGTGCCACTTGAAGTCATTGCCAGTTGGCCGAGGTGCACTTAAAGTTTCCACCAAACAAACTAACAAACACTAAATTGCCGACTTGAATTCATAAAAAAACGCGGAAAATGCGATAACGCATGTGGCAAGTACTAGAAATAAAATGTTGAAGTCAAAGTTCCTATTGTGAGTGCTCTCGAGCAAAGTTTGACTTACAAAATTACTTACCGGCTTCGCCAAGTTTTGTTGTTCGCTGCATATGGTTGCAGAAGTGCTCGTACTCGCCACTAGATGGCGCCTGCGTTGATTTCATTGCCTGCATGTGCTTGGTAAAAGCACCGACAATGGCCGCCATTCGATCGAAGGCAATCACATTGATGTGGCCATTTGGTAAACTGCAAGCGGCAAGCGGGCAGGGAAAGAGAGAGAGAGAGAGAGAAATATAAATTGGTTGCAATTGCGGACACTATGCTAATTTGAATGCGGAAACCGTTAGTAGCATGTTCCCGTTTAAATATGCACAGCTTCAATTTAATAAATAGTTCAATTTTATACGACTCGCTATCCAAAATCATTAGTTTTTATGGGTTTTGATGTGTGATCGGAAAAGCATTTGAAGTTTAGGCAACATATAATTTCATATCAGAATACGTCATTGAAAATCGTTCAACAAATTATTTATGCGCTGCTTGATTATTTTATCAATTAGGGTTTAGGGCTTATTGGCCTTACTGGCAGTTGTAAACACATACATTAAGCAATAAAATCATTAGGAATACGAGGCAGAAGTCAGAGCAGACCAATTTGTTGAGTTCTTAATGGTATATAAAAAGGATATGTGTGCTACCGAAATTCAAACAAATTTACTCATTGAATAAAAAAGATAAGCAGAAATTGCTAATTAATTAGTGTGAAGTGATTTGCAGCGCTATCAGTTATTTTTCCACACTGCTGAGCCTTGAATTGAAACCACACCAGATATTAAAATGCAAAATAAAAAACAATTACGTATGCGCCATGTAATTCAACTTTCATGTAATTTCATGAAATTGGACAGGTAAAGTGTAATGCATTCACAAAAAACTCACCACTGCAAACAGTTTTCTCGTTCGGCAAGTGCCAATTTAACAATATCCGCAAACACTGGTATAACAACCCAATCATTGGGTTTGCCACAAACTGTTGTTGCTGCTGCTGCTGCTGTTGTTGTTGTTGTTGTTGTTGTTGTTGATGTTGTGGCTGCTGCTGCTGCTGCTGCTGCTGTTGCTATGTTTGCAGGTGTAGCTGCTTCTACATTGCCACTGCTGTTTGCCACTGGCACCTCTAGCGATGACTGTTCCAGTGCATTCAATCCGGAAGTGCCTATTATGCCAACCGGCTGCCCTTTGGCATTTGTCGAGGACTTCGCATTCAAGTCGTCCAGGGATGATGATGAGGTTAACGTTGTTGTTGCTATTGTTGTTGTTGTGGCTGCTGCTGCTGCTGCTGCTGCTGCTGCTGCTGCTACTTCAACTGCTGTTGATGATGTTGCTGATGAGTTTTGCGTTATCGATAAAGCGGCTTTGGCCTGACTATCAGTCTTAAGACTTTGCTGCTGCTGCTGGAGCTGCTCATTTAGAACGATTGCCTGTTTCTGCCATAAATGGCCATGTCCTTCGGCATGCCGTTGCATGCAATCCAATTGTTGACATGTCACTTGTAATTTGCTCCACTGTAATAAAATAGAAATACGCACATAAATAAACAGTATGTGTGTAAAAGTCTGTGTGTGTGTGTGTGTGTGTGTGCAAGTTGTATTCCATCCAAATGGAAAATATCTTTAATTCGTTTTATTTGTGTTATTTGTGCCTTGTTTTCGGGCGCTGCTGTAAAAGTTTATGGTTTTGTTTGTGCCCCAGTTTTATGTCTGCAATTTGCGCTTATCGAATTTTATGGTGCGACATTTGGCTTTGCCTTAGATAAGATTTTAATTTGGATATATACACCCTAATGCCGAAATAATTACAACGAGTGTAAAGTTCAAAATGTGACCATATCTTTTAATTTATTTGCTTTACAATATTTAAATTGTTTCGCTGAAACTGTTTATTGTTTATTTCAGCAAGGAATGCTATTCCTTCTATTTTTACTCACTTGGCATTTTTAATTGTTCTTGACATATTTATGGTTATCGTCGTAGTGCTAGTCATAAAATGTTCTGTGGCACATGCAAGTACCCAAAAAAAAGCCAGACAATGCAAAAATGCTCCATGCAAAGCTCTACGGATTTGCTAGTCCCTTAAACTTTTCCATGTGCGCAATTTATGCGTTACAGAAAAAAAAAAGATGATAATAATAAAAAAGAATGATATAAAAATGAATTCTCAGCCAGCACTTCACAATAAATAAAATGTGAGCCAAAGGCATTTAAAGCAGCTAAAAGTTTGCATCAACGTCAATAGAAAAGTGTTAGCCGTTAGTTAGAGACTGCATGGCAGAAAGGCATCCATTAACTAATTGCAGAGCTTGTTATGAAAACTAGCTTCAGTTGCCACGAAATGAATGCACAACTAAAGCCGAGCACTCAATGTGCCCCATTCAAGCATTTTGCGGGCGACATGCCAAGTAAATAGGCAAAAGTAGCAAATATATAAATTTGATGAAAAATGTGCCAACGCAGCGTGGGCAAACTGTGAAACTGTGGTTTCCACGTTTTGGCTTTTCCATTTTCTTTAATTTTGCTTGTCACTTGTGCTTTGCAGTGGTCTGCCCATAATCAACCAGCCTTATAAATAGCATTAAAGTCAAATTAAATTGCCTAACTATGTTTGCAGTAAACTGCTTAAGAATTTTGAGCACATTTAATGTCTTGATTTAATGCCAAATTATTAACAATGAGGCATGCATAATACCACCAGCATCATTGAGGTAATCATATGTTTATGCTGTCACTCACCGTAATTTTCAGCCGGGCTATGGCTGGTGACTCCAGGGATTCCAAAATGGCCGTTGCACTATTATAGTTGCCCACAAGTAGGCAATATTGGGCAACGCCGCTCCAAAGCTCCACAGTCCGACTGCGCTCCTCAATTCCGGTGCACTGGAAACCAAGATGAGTGTGATTATTTGTTGTTGCTGTTTTCTTGACACAATACAGTATGCGAACCACGTCACTTCACTAAAACTTTAACGAGTCACTTATGCAGCCAAACTGCCAAACTGCCAAACTGCCGATGGCCGAGTTACGAGCAGCATAAATTATATGCCAGCTTGTCCTGTTTGACTATGCAAATGTCGCATGCAAGTCGCTCAGTTGTTGGTCCATCAACGGACATCAAGCTCGGCATATTTCACAGGCATGGGAGATTTTAATTCAATCCACACCGACCTGCTGCCAAAAGAGCAAGCCAGTACGGCTCTAAGTGCTTACCTGTAGTATCTCATTGCAGACAAACAGACGCAGACGTGCCGACCAATCCAGATACGTTTCCAGATTACAAGTCTTCTTTGGATCCTGGGCACCCGGTGGTCCCGCCGATGAGATTGGTTGGTCCCATTTCTTCTGCGTGTGTGAGAAGATGGGTACAAAAACAGTCAGCAGTGCTAATGAAGCAGCTTGGCATCATTTTATTTACATTACAGGTGAGTTTGATGTATTCTTTTAATTGCACAAGTTGAGCTTATTTACTTGTAATAAAAATATGAAATATAATTTAAGTGATTTGAATTTCAATATCCAATTAATAATTAAATAAAAATGTGTTTAATTTCTCGACAATTCTCATTTTTGTAAATATTTTCTGCATTTAGGAGTACTCGCAATCAACCGACCTGCTTATCCAACAGCACCATGCTGCTGCACTGCAGAAACTCCTCCGGACCGATGTGCTTGGCCAGCTTCTTCTCCAACCTACACAAGATTTGTGCATATTGGGTGGCTGTTGGGCAGTTGATTGGTACAACGAGCTGTCGATTAGCCAGACATAAAAGTGGTCAACATGTTGGTTGGAGCCGAGTATGGATTGATTGGCAGAGTTTACCTTTTCGCTGGTTGTCTGGCAGGCACGCAGATCGGCCTCGTGTTTCTCTAAATCAGTCAAACGTTTAAGTAAGGCACTTAGTATTTGGGAGACAACGGCTTCCAAATGTGAATCGGAACATCTACAAATGGGCAAATTGTTTATCTTTTAGCTGGGGAAGCATAACTAATCAATTATATATGCACTCACCTGGCAACGATATGTTTTACATGATTCATCATGCGTTCATCACGATAATCATATGGGAATTGTTGCGTCCACTCGGCAAGCAGGGCAACAAATGTCTCCAAGCATTTGCCATGGGACACCGATGCCAACAGTTTGCCGAGCAGTTCATGTGGTCGCAGAAACAAACGTGATGATAATAAGAATGAGAACAGAAATTCCTGCAAAAGACAAACACAAGTCAGAGATTAGTGCAACTCAAACAAAGCTTGATTTCGCTTAGTTTAGTGGCACACTAAGTATACAAATATACAAATATACACAGACATGGCTAGAAGCCAATTCCATTAGCTTAATTTTTCAGTTATCGTCCTTTTTACTACATCAGCTTTTACTCGTTTACATTTTTACATTGTCGACTTGTTTGCTTGTCTCTTTTTTCCTTTGTGGTTTGTTTAATATTTTTGTTACAATTTAATATATATATATATTTTTTTTAATATCTCTTACCTTATCTAAATCAATGACATTTATGGGATTGAGCACCTCGGGGAATGCGTCCAGCGGGCCAGAAACTATTTTACCATTTATGTACATAATGCCACCGGAACCCAAAACCGAGCTCTGGAATAAACAAGCACCAACAATGCAAACACCACAACAATTTTCCAATAATGTATAAAATTTGAAAACAATTCTGGTTGCATACCTCAAAGTTGATATCACATTGGCTGCGCTTGTGCGAATTTGTGGGCACATCATATTGAACAATATCATCCCTGGCAGTGAGTGGCTGCCCATGCAAATAATAAATAATTGCATATGAAATTGGGGCAATTGGAGCAATCAATCGATACTATGGATGATCAATACCTTTAAATCCTGCTGAAATCCTAATTCCAAATCATGTGCACTCAATTGTTCGGCACTGTGACGACGTCGCAATCGCAAGCGTCCCTCGTTAAACCATCCCAGGTTCAAGCCATAGTTGTAAAGCTGGCCCGCTTCCGGTGTCGAATTGAGCAGAAAAATGCCCACATCCGGTTGAGGTGTGCCACAGCAGGCGGCATTATTATCGTCGTCAACATCGTCATTATCATCATCATCATCATCAGCGCTCGATGCCGAGCTGTTCTCCGTGCTATTGTCATGACATACAGCTCGTCTTCTGCTCCGTTGGCGACATTTATCACGATCCCGTTGACCGCGCGACTTTTGCAGCACGGTTTGCTTGCAGCGCGTGCCACAGACGATGGCTGATATCTTACTGGCATAAAAGTACATCGCCATGTGTCACGTTTGGGCTGCCGTTGCCCGTAGCACGCTCATGTGGTTGTGTGTTGAGTGCTGGTTGTTCTTAATGCACAGGCACGCCCCAAACAGTTGGCGAGCTGTCGATGCTCGATGCCCGGCTCAGGAATGCAGCAACAAAGTCGCCTGCACGTCCCTAAAATGCGTCAGGTGCGTGTGCAGTCAAATGTCATTCGCAGCGAGGATGATGAGTTGCAGCTGGGATTTAAGCTTGCAGTTCGACATATTTGTGTGACATAATTTGTGACGGTGCTGCTGATGCTGAAAAGATCAATAACAAAATCCAACTGTAAAAAATTGGTTGCCGTTAAGGACTCGCTGACGCGGCAACAAGTAACAAGTTGCGGTCAATCGCAGCACATTACTCATACGACGCGTAGCTCATAAAATCACACACACACACACCGACACACACTGAGTAAATCACATCCGTTAGGCTAGGAATATTATCCCTTTGGGTACACTTGGGCCCACCCATCATGCCACAGATTCCGGTCTGTGTGTGCGTCATCAATAAGGGCGCATCTTTTGGGGGGTGGACAGATTTCCGATTCAATGTTTGCCATCAACTTTGGCTGTGCACTTGCCCAGAAATCTCTTACACAAAATACGCTGCTTCGCAGAAACATGCTTACATATTTATGAATCACCATACCTATCAGCTATAAGACTACTCTATATATATTATATACAAATTCACATTTTGTTTTGATATATTAAAGTGCACTTTAGTTGCCATAAATTTTGAACTAAATACAACACAACAATTATTTGTTTTTGAAATAGAAACTTGCGCTTTTACTTGATTTAAATATTTTAATAATCCTAATACCTAAATAGATTATACAAATACTATACTAAAATTGTATATTCTACTCATGTTTTCAATTTTAAATCCACAAATATCAATGTTATTGCTCGTAATCCTTGGAGCAAATCCGAATACACGAGCACTTCAAGGAAAATATGATACACAGCAGTTTGTCGCAATAAAAATCAACAGCAGCGCGCCAATGTCAGTCATTCTGTGACATATTTCATAATATATTCATTAGGCATTCGATATGCTACGGCATGAGTGTTCTCAGAGATCAGACTCGTGCGTCTATCGATACATACTTCTTTATGTATTTATGGAAATGTGATTTTTATGCACACCTCACCCACCTCTGCAGCTGCTGATTGAAATGAGAGTTTCGATTGCTGTTAAGTCAAATCAAACACGGATTTCTTTTCATATTTATTTCCAAGTGTCGCGGACAGACTGATAACTGATGCGAGAGTTTTATAATAATATTTGTAAAGATTGCCATTTTATATTGATTAAACATTAACATTGATTCGTTTTGACAAACGGAGCGTAGACTGATATTGATGGTTTTGTCGTTTATTCACACATTAAATGCATTTCCATTTCGTTTGACTGAAAAGTGTAAAAAACATGTTCAAAATAAAATACTACAATTTTATAAAAAAAATATATAAATTTAAATTCTGTATACAATTTTTATCTGTCAAAGGGTAATTTGCAACTAGCTTTTTAAACTGATTTTCTCAAGATAGATAAGATAAAATGAAAGAAAAGGATATAGGCCTACATAGCCTTCTTTATATCTACATATTTATACAGATTTTTACATTTTGTGTAGCCTACTTTTGGGGGCTGGACATTCTGCTGTTGAACTGTGCACATAACTCATAATATGTTGTGTGCCATAAGCTTGGACTTGTAGTTTGTTATGCCAAAAACTTGCCCCTTTTTTTCTGTTAACAAAAAGATTGGCAATAAAATAAATCTTATGTCAGAAACTTATTAAAATTCCAATCATGCTTACGGCGATTGCGTGCTCAACATGTCGTAGCAGATAGAATACACATATATATAATATATATATGTGTATGTACGATATATATATGTCAGTGCTGTCACATGGAATGTTTTCAATTTGAATATTGACAGCGCAACTGGTCCAGCTAATCCCAACACAGCTCATTTCAATATTTTCATCTTCTTTTCGATTGGCTGCCCAATAATATTTGCCCCACATATGTTATATATCTATATATAAATATATATACATGTATATATATATGTATATATATTTTTATGTCCCTTCAATGGCACTGCCAACGCCTCCAGCATTGTCTACACTTTTGTGCTCGAGTGCACGGAAAATATCAATCAATTACATATCGACCAACTTGTCCAGCCCAAAGCGTAACAGCGTACATAATTGGGGCACACGGCAGAGGAATGTGGCCCGTGTAGGCGTGTAGGCGTGGCACTGACAATTGAGTGATAGTCACATAACTATGTCCTGACTAGATGAATATTAGATGAACTCATCGAGTTCAGAAACTTGTTTATTTATGAGTATTTCTGATGGAATTTCTATGCTCATATTCGCACCTTTTCCCAATCTTTTTTCCATGTTTATTTTAGCTCATTTTGATTTACTACTTCCAATTTTTTGTTCTGCGAAATATTAAAAAAAAATAAATATAGTACAATGTGATTTATTTGCATTGCTCGTTTTGTTTTTGTTGGTTGATGAACGATATTTACAATCTCAACATAATTAAATTATTGAATATTATGCATGCATTTGTTGAATGTGAATCCATTACTGAGATTACATATTGAATATTAAATTTTAATTCGACTTGGCAAAAAATGTGTTTACTGTTCCATTGCTAATTAAATTTAAAATTATTCTTTGTAGGTAATTAAATGGAATTAAAATAATGAATAGATTCTGTACATATACATTACACAACAATGCTAATTAAATCTCATTTTTTATAAAATGAAGTTCAAAGTTCAAAGTGCACATTGCATATTTTCTTTATTTTTATTATTATTTTTTTTCAACTTCAACTTGAAAAAATCATTATTGCGGTGGTCATGGAGAAGAAGAGCAGCTGCTAAAAAATTCTGAAATCTATTAGCATAAAGCAGATTGAAGTAAACTTATGCTGACGATGTTGTCAACAAGGACAACAACGGCAACAGTGCCAACAAACAACAAACAACAACTGATAATAATGACAACAAATTGTAATTTGTTGCGCGGTTTCCCTAATAGGAATCGAGCGGAAAGCAAACTTTGTGTAGATAAATAAAAAGAAAAATGTTTTTACATATTTTTTCCAGCGTGCAAAATGCATTTGCTCTAATTTGAATACTGGGCAAGCTGACAAGTGACAAATACGACAGCTTCCTTATTTCCCAAAAAACCCGCGTGTTTAAAACGTACGAAAATATATTAAATTCAAATACTGAACAAAATTTAAAATGTCAATGGATTTTTTTTTTTTTTTCTTTTTTAAATTTGTTGCAATTGTATTTATTTTCTTACTGGCATTTAAGTCGACCGCCAGCTATTTGCTCAAGCTTTTGGCTTTAAGATGATGTTTTCGATAGGGGATTTTGGAAAACATTTGCAATCTATTTAAAGACTTGTAGCTTGCATAAAACTGAGCAACATATTTTATTTATGCTCGTATTTCTTATTTTTGGGTTCTCGCTTTTGTTTTACTTTCCGCTCTGTCGATTATCTACACTTGCCATACTTGACTTGACTTGACTTGATGTTCACTTTAGTTTTATTTGTGCTGTTTATTGTCCTTTGTGCCAAACAAAATGTTTTCCATTGTGATTTTAACTCGTTTGTTTTCACTTTGTTTTTCGCTTTAGACGATTTCATATCAGATGCCATATTAGCTTTGCAATTTCTTTAATTACGCACGATACGAAGTACAAAAAGGCGCCTTTAATAATAAAATGAATCATTTTGTCACCTTTTTTTTCAATTTTTTTGTCTGCCCACAATCAACTTTGGCATTAGATTTAATTAGCATTTGTCTTGGACCCGGAGTGCCAATAAAAAAAGTCTCAAAGTTTTAAAAGTTTCATCGACTTTGCCGCTGTTTAAACAGTTAAACGCCTTTAATGATGTTGGCCCTTATAGAGTAAACTCGAATGGCACCTTCAGCTACAATTTTAGAGTTTGTTCATGACACATTTTCGGATATGGCTTCCAACTTTTGGGCTTGGCTGACAATTTTCATTAGCAACACGACTCAAAGCGAAGAAAATGCGTTAAAGAAACTTCAACAAAAAAAATGACGCAAAGCTAAAGAAAACAAACAACATTTTTGGTTGACTTTTTGTAGGTCGTCAAAAATCTGTATGTGCAGCAAAAAATATTTGATAAAATTTGCATTTAGGTCAGCATTAAATATTTTACTTAAGAAATATTTATTTAATTGCTTTCCTTAACAAATTGGGTGTGTTGAGCGCACTTAAGATAAGTAAAAATAAGATAAATAAATATCTCAAAGTCTCGAATGATATATATATATATATCTGATATTTGTATATTATAGCCATAAATATATTTAATAAGAGATTATTGTACTCAGCTACTAGTTTTTGATGATTCGTTCAGCTCATTCCAACTTGCCTGATATCTCGGTCTCCATAATTCTAAGCAAATACTTTAAGACAAACATAGCAGAACCTCGAGAACCATTTAACAGACGAAGAAAACATTAATGGTATCGAATGGATATAGCTGTAATGAATTTTGCTATTATCGATTCACAAGTCCCACTTTATTGTTTGTTTATTTGTTGTTTTTTTTTATTAGTAAATCTCTTTAATCAAAATAAATGTTGACAAATGTTGATTTAAAATGTGTCACACGCGGCGTATGATTATTATTGGAATGTGTATGAGTTAATCCGTATATTGCATACTTACAGGGCAGTGATATTTATTTATTTCTATTATTGGTTATATCTATTTATATATATACACATACTTTAATTTTGTTTTAATTTGTTTGAAACCCTTTCGATTATGTGATTTAAATTCAATTTACTGCACTTTTAGATTATTATTTGTGTGAACACATATTCAATATTTAGTTCGTTAATTTATATTATTTATTAATATTTATACAACGTTTTTTAGTCTGTGTGCTTGGTTACTATAAATCGTTGTCGTTAAAAGACAACGAAACGCTCTCAAGCAACCGCCAAGCGAACCGCACACTTTGAATATCCACATAGAACTAAATTGTAAGCATCTGCTGTTGCTGCTTATGTAGTTCGAGTTGCCAAACATTGACATTACAGACAAGTTGCATACTACCATAATGGGAAATCATCTGAAGGAAATTTAGAACGGCCAACGAATCGCAACAAGTTGCTCAACAACATGCGCTTATGCGCTTGCAACATGCCGTTGATCGAAC